GGGGCTTGGGATCAACCATTTGCAGAGCCCCTACTATGTTGTGACTCTTTGCGACCCCATGGACTATACAGTCCATGGAATTCTCCAGGCCAGAATACTGGAGTGGGTAGCCTTTCCCTTCTCCAGGGGATCTTCCCAACCCAGGGATTGAACCCAGGTCTCCCGCATTGTGGGAGACTATCAGCTGAGCCACAAGGGAAGCCCAAGAATACTGGAGTAGGTAGCCTATCCCTTCTCCAGTGGATCTTCCTGACCCAGGAATCAAACCAGGATCTCCTGCACTGCAGGCAGATTTTTTACCAACTGAGCTATGAGGGAAGCCCTTACTATGTACCAGGTTCTATTAAAACCATGTCACACAAAATAGCCTCTTACTATTCCATTTTACAGATGAAGAAACTGAGGCTTTAGGAACTTATTAATAATGAGGAACCCAGGGCTGACTCTAAAACTAGGGCTTTTTCTCATGTTCTTGTTTAGCTGCTTAGTTGTGTCCAACTCTTTGCAACCCCATAGACTACAGCACGTCAGGTTTCACCAACTTCCGGGGTTTGCTCAAACTCATATCCATTGAGTCAGTGATGCCATTCAACCATCTATTCCTCTGTTGTCCTCTTCTCCTCCTGCCCTTGATCTTTCCCAACATCAAGGTTTTTTCCAATGAGTCAGCTCTTCGCATCAGGTGGCCAAGGTACTGGAGTTTCAACTTCAGCATCAGTCCTTCCAATGAATATTTAGGGTAGATTTCCTTCAAACAAGGATTGACTTGTTTGATCTCCCTGCTGTCCAAGGGACTCTCAAGAGTCTTCTCCAACACCACATACGTGGGCAGGACTAAATCATAAATATTTACTACAAGTTTTCTTCCTCCTTCCTTTCTTTCTTTTCTCCCCAAGCTAGCCAATATGGGTCTACCATCACCTCAAATTCAGTTGCTATAAAAATAAGTTCAACAGTTTCACCTTCATCCTCCTCTGCTAAGCGTCCTGCCTTTGTCAAGGGCTTTGGTCTCCTCCCTAACAGTGTTCCATCCTGCTGTCCTTCTAAAATATACCTGGAATAAAATAAGTAAAATAAATCCAGGAAGGCTGCTGAGGCTGCAATGGCCACAGATGGGTGGCAGAAGGCTGTTTTGTCCGCTCCCTGCTGGCAGGCACAGTGATCCGGCCCATGTTCTTGTAGATCCTCCAAAACCACCACCATCTCCTCGCCTGCACCATTCCAAGTCTCTCAACGCTCTTTCCCTTTCAGCGTGTTCTTCTAATATAACTGCAAGAAACTGAATGGAATCCATTTTGTTTCCACACAGCAGGAATAAATGAAATGAGTCCTGCAGGTGGACTGGATGGATGAAGAGCATGAATTCCAGAGCCTCACCTGAGGCTCCCTTGGGAAGCAGAGGGGGCAGGACTAAACCTCCAAAAGAATGCTGCCTAGGCTGTGATTGAGTAATTAGCTCTCCAAACTCCTTTGCTTCCAGGGAAGCAAGGGAAACAATTAATCCCTCCATAGAGTCACACAGTGTCATAATTGAAATTCAATGGGGCAGCAAGCATAGTTATTCTACCAGAAGCACAGAAGAAAAGTCACTGGGACTTCACACAGTTACGTTTTGGGGACTTAAGAGAGGATGACTAGAGAATGAGTTACTAAAACCTGAATCAGAGGATCAAAAAGGCAACTGAGTCAGGAAGGACTCAGGATGTCCCGTGAGTAGATTTCTCAGGGTTGGATGTTCTAGGAGAGCCAGTCACGGAAGATATGTGGATGCTAAGTTATGTTGTTGATGGTTACAAAGGACATATAAACTATCTGAATAATTTTTCATTGACTAGAGAAACTAGAATTCAGTTTTGGCAAGGCTGGGATGCCAAAAGGCAGAACTAGGAAGTGGGATGAGGACAACTGACTTGCTGCTGTGTGTGTCTCTGGAAAAAAAGAGAAAACTCGAGACTGCACTTAAGATTCCCTCGCTTGAAGCAACATTTGTGTACACAGCCTTCTGCCTGCTTGCAGACACGGTCTGCCTAAGTTTTGCGAGTCAGTTGTTAAATGCAACCACTATTAAAAATAAAAGTATAAAAATGTACAATTAAATGAATTTTACTGAGACACAGGAAATAAGCATTCAAAATTCATCCTTTCCCAATTAGTTTACTGCAGTTCATGACTGTCTTAATTCTTGAGGTTATTTACTTCTGCAGAGATGGTGTGATAGTGTACATTTCTCCTGATTCCACTGCAAGGACATCACATCGACAGCCTGAAGTCAGCCATGGTGGGAGAATTTACATCAGGGCAATAGCAAATGATACACATTAGGGCCTTTTGGCCGCCTACATGCTCAACTTCGCTCCCAAAACCACTCATAAACATTTACCACCATAAATGTTCTCCAATACTGACAAGGTTTCAAGCAGGAGAAATGAAAAAACCCAAGGTGTCCCTGAAGCAAAACCTTCAGAGCAGAAACTCCCATCCTTTCTCACTCAGAGGTGATGAGTGCAGTGATCATTTATTTAGGGATTTAGGAACTTCCTGGGCTTCCCTGTTGAGTCACCCTGCCGAAAGTTGTTTCCAAAGTCTCTCTAAAATCTCTTACTGCTTCTTAATGAGCTTTTCTTGCCAGCACCTTGTTGTTCTCACCCTTCAAAGGAGGGCTAAGTCGGAGCATGGCTCCCTGGTTCCTGGAATGGGGAAGATGATGTCATTCAACATAACCTGCACAGCTGGCTGCCTCGTACCTCACTTCCTTGTAGGGAGCTGAGCTAGAGGGTCTCAGACTGGGAGAGCCCTCCCCAAGTCACCCTATTCAATCCCGAGCCTTAGGGTGAACATGTGCCAGGCCCAGCATCCTACTGAAGTTCTCTCTATGAACAAATCATCCTATAGGTGCTGTTAAATGTCTCCAAATAAGTGAGGGAGGGATGATTCCTGCAGTTCTCTGCTCCCCTCACTCAGTCCCCTTACTCCCTCCCACTGCGTCCCATCCATCCTCAAGAATCCCCACCTCCCCCCACCCCCACTCTAAGACATCTCTCCCTGGCTCCCTCTGTTCCACCATCATCTCTCCTTTCTTTTGCTTTTCTTCAGGAGAAAGTGTGAATGCAGTCGCTCCACTAGCACAAATTATGCAATCGAGTTTCCCACATTTGAGTAAATCACAGGGGCAGCACATCCAGAGTGCAATGGATGAGCCTTGCCCTGGGAAAATCACCTTCGTGATCATGGTGTCTCCCCTGCCAGGTAAGTATCATCTCTCCTTTCTCTTCCCAAACTCTATCAAGGCAGAACCAGAGATGTCATCACCCTTTTGCAAGTACCCAAGCCAACAAGAAGGGTTTCCTAGTTAGATACAACCAAGCAAGGTTTCAGGGCTTCCTCTATCAACAAACTCTGAGGTCCATCCATTCCCCACACTTCACATGGCCACAGGGTAGAAACAGAAAAACTTCAGGAGCCCAGCTTCTCCTTAAGAGAAAAAGAGGCAAAAAAAAAAAAAAAAAGAAAGAAAGAAAGAAAGAAAAGGAACTGCTATGCTCTCAAGAGGCAAGCAGCTGGACAGAAGCAGGTAGAGCAGAGTGACCTTGAAGTACTATGCTCCTCAGAAGAGCCTCCACCCCTAAACCAGGCACAGGTTCAGTTGTGTTCCTGCTGCAGTCATCCAGTATGGAGTACGGCCACTTGGTCCATTAGGGGCAGCTGAATTGAGGCTGTGATGCTTAGGGCTCACTAAGCACTTGGGCCAAGGGATAAAAACGATGTGGGTTCAACATCAATTTGAGTTCAACAGGAGAAAGATATCTCTGACAGGCAGAGGCCAAATGGACTGATGTGGGAGGTGCCACTGCAGGTATTCGAGAAGAGGTTGGAATATCTTTTGTTAGGAATGTAGAAGAAGGAATTCAAATGTCAGGGAAAGAGCACGATGTCTGAGAGTCAAACACACCTGGACCAAAACCTGTTATTACCTGTGATCTTGGTTAAGACACTGAATACCTCGAGCCTCAGTTGCTTCATCTATATAATGGAATACTACACCTCAAAGGATGAAATATCAGAAAGCACCCGGCATTCAGAGGGTGCCCAATAAATGTCAATGCCCTTTCTATTAAAAAGGGGGCTAGGTTAGATGAATTTCGTTTTTCTACCCCAGAGTAGGACTCTGAAACCTCTCCTAGTTGTTGAGAAGGATGGCATACATCTGGGAGAGATCAGGGAGTCAGGATTTGGTAGGTGAGAGGAGAAGGAAGAAAGATGCTGCGAGTGGTCAGGGAATACTCAGAGAGGTCATGCCTGACAGCTCCTTGTTTCCTCTTTTGATTTCTGGAATAAAAGAGAAAAGCGGATTCTGGACTGAAAATTGAGCCTGAAGAGTCTCAGTTTCTCCATCTGCCTAGGGAAAGGTAGGAATAGACAGCCCCTTCCAGCTCTGGCTCCCGATCAAGGAGGGGGAGGGGGAAACGTTGAGGAGATGATGCTGGACAACAGGAAGCAACGACCGCTCCCCTACCCCTGAGCACGGCCCACCACCCTGACCCCATGCCCAAACCTCCGTGGAACCACAGCCACCTCAGTCTCGAATCTTACATTTTCTTTATTGTGCTAACACTGCCGCCTCGGAGCTCAGCTCTCACACTCACAATTCAGTCCGGATCCCCACCCACCCAGCCCCCGGGGCTCTCTGCCTTGGCTGGGGACACCGGCCTCCGGCCTCGTGCGCTCTCGGGCACTTCCTCCTCTCTCCGTCTCCACGAGCCTGGGGCTCCGAGGATGAGGAGAGGCCCCGGATGGCCTTTCTCTGCCTTCTCCCGCCCTCTCCCACGTTTAGAGGAGGAGGCTCAGCCGCTCGACTCAGTTCCCGAGGGAAACGTCCTCAGCCACCAGCCGCCGCGCGGCCGGGAGCAGCCGAGGTCGGCGCCGGCCCGAGCGCGTCCCCAGCTGCGAGCAGAGAGCCCCGCGCCCCCCTCCCAGCCGGGGCGCAGCCCAGCGCCGAGCGCTCACACCAGGAGGCCGTCCTTGCTCTGCAGCTGCCCCTCGGCGGCGCTGCTGGCGGGCTCGGCGCTCTTGACCTGGACGTAGACCGGGGAGGGGCCCGCTTCGCAGGCGGCGGCCGCGGGGGCGGGGCGGGGCGCCAGGGCCACGCCCTCCGGACCGCCGCAGGGCGGAGGCGCGTACTTGCGGCGCAGGGAGCGGCTGACGTTCTGCGTCGGGTACCCCAGGAGGTGGGTGACGCGGCTGCCGCGCCCGCTGGCCTTGCACCCGGGCGCCACGGCGTCCTCTCTGTGGAAAACAACAGGCGGGCGGGTGAGCGGGCTCCTCCGCGGCGCGGCGTGGGCACGGCCTGGGCAGAGCCGGGGGCTCTTGGCAGTCTCTCGTCTCCCGCGCCTCCCTCCGCCTCCCCTCGCCTCTCAGCCTCTGCCTCGACCTACTCTCCTCTCTGCCCCTTCCTGGACCCGCGGCTCCGCAGCGCTCCCGGAGCCACCGTCCCCATCCTCCTGCGGACGGCGCTGGTCCGCACGTGTCCGGACAGCCCACGGCAGGGCAGGCCGCCCCCTCTAGGCGCCCTCCTGTCCCCTTCTGAGCTTTTCGCAGAGCCACCGGCTCTGATAGAAAGGGAACCTTGGAGATCCAGAAGGAGCTGCTTTCCCTGACCTTCTTTCCTTCCTTAACCCTGACCTTGCCTTCTCTCTCCTTCTCTTCTCGCCTCTCCTCTCTTAATCTTCTCCATCTTTCTCTCCATCCCCAGGGCATTGCAATCATTAGCACTACTAGGCTTGTTCTGTTTTTATTTCTAGTTTGTTCCTAATATACGTTATTAGCACTATTCTTAATATTAATGAACTCTTCTTAAGTAAGCATGTCCAAGAATTCTCACCGGCGCGATACAAGGGAAAAGTGAAAAAATAAATACAGGCCCTGCCCTCCAGGAGCTTACAGTCTAGACAAGACAAGAGAGGCGCAAAGACGCGAGGGGGGTGGAGGGCAGGAGAGCAGAAGAGAAGACTGGCAGGGGGAGGGGAAAGAGAAAAGCCATGCGATGAGGGGCCGGTTGACATGCTTGTGGTCCCAGCACTCCGTGGCGATGGTAGGCAGGGTGGGGGTGGGGGTCCCAGCCGGCCGGTGGCAGGCAGGGGTGAGAGGGAGCAGGGCGCCGGTCCCCTGCCGCGCAGCAGCATGCAGCATGCATCAGGTTTTACCTGATCTCATTAGACAAGTCGCCGCAGGCCCCTCCGCCGACCCCGCCGCCGACCCCGCCGCCGTAGCCGAAGGGACCGCGGGAGCCGCCGCCGACCCCGGCGCCCCCGCAGCAGCAGCAGATGAGCCCCCAGATGCCCACCAAGAGGCAGCCCAGCGCGAGCAAAGAGCCCAGCACTGCGCCGATGATGATTCCTATGCGCCGGGTGTCTGGGGAGAAAAGTGGAGACTAGTCAGGCTTTCTGCAGCCTGGCAGGTGCTTGGCTAACCCGGAGTGGCAAGCACAGGGCTTCTGTGTGAAAAAGAATAGGGGACCCAGGAGGTCTCAGGGCCCTTGGACACACAGTGAGGAATATATGGGGAGAGGCAAGTTAACTCCTCATATTTGCATGTTTCTCCCAGGGATCCCGGGCTGACCTTGGCAGAGCTATATGCACTGATGAGACCCATAAGGCTGAGCCTGCTGAGACTCCAAAATAACAGCCCAGGTTCCTCCCGTCCAAACCTCCCGGCCAAGGGGCCATTGACTGCACCCACCTGAGACCTTCACCTCCACCACACACACGCTGTAGCCCACGTGGTTGGCCACTGTGCACTGATACAGCCCATCATCCTTGTAGGAGATGTCCTTCAACACTAGGTCACCGTTGTTCAGGCCTGAAACTGAAGGAGCATCAGAGGGCAATGGTGAGGCCAAGGGGCCTGGTCTTTGAGAGCTTCATCCCAGCCTAGACCACTACGGGATGGCTCATGGAAGGAGGGTGTGTGTACACACACAAGTCCACCCCGCTGTGTCCAGGTGAGTCACCTTCCCCTGCTGAAAGAGAGGCAAGGAAGGCCCCCTTCCCAGCAACAGGAAAGAGACCTTGATTTCACTCTATGACCTTAGGGAAGTATGCCCCCTCCCTGAGCCTCGGTCTCCTCATTTGTACAGTGAGGACCGGGTTAGACCAGAGGAATTCTAAGCTTCCTTCCAGCTCTTATCATCTTTGTGAGTACCAGTCAGCATCTCTCTGTGCCGGAAGATTTACACACCTCATCCCATTTAATTCTCACATGCCCTTGGAGGATAGCCCTTATTTCCCTTTTCATGTACTGTAGAATGAAACCAAGGCACACAGAGGTCAAGCCACTTGCCTGAGCCTTGCTGCCAGTCATGGTCCAGCCAGAATGCAAACCCAGCTCTATCCGAAACCATGCTCTTTCCAAATTAGTCATACTGCTTTCGACTGACTCTCCCCTTTCGCCTTCTTTTCCTCCCTCTATAGCAGCTTCTGGAACAGGCTCAGAGGAGGAGTCTCCCACAGTTGGTGCTGCTGAGGACCTAGGGAAGCCCCAGCAGGACCCAGCGTCCCCATCTTCCCCTCTTACAAGGCCCCCTCACCTTGACTGATGGAGCTGTGGAAGGACTCCTGGTAGGAGAGCTCAGAGTGGAAGCTGTGTTGAGAATGGTAGGACCCGGCACGGTAGGGGTGAGTATGCCCGCTGATCTTGGCCCACTTGTAGGTGAGAGGTGGGCTGCCCCCATTGGCAAAGCACTTCAGCACCACATCATTGCCATGTGTAAAGTGGCCCTCAGACCAGCACAAGGGCACCGCAGGCCGTGCTACAGGGAAGAGGGTAGTTGTGAGCCAGGGCCCAGCCAAGAGGCTGGGCTCAGGGTGGCCAAGCCACCGTTGATTCTGAAGTCTGGGGAAGGGGATCCCAGAGGAGTCTGCTCATACCTTGGACAGTGATGATGACCCTTCTGGTGGCCATGGTGGTCTTCTTCACCCGGCACTCATAGGTGGCTGTGTCGGAGACTTGCAGGTTCGAAAGGGTGATCGAGGCATCATACTGGCTGGGGTCTGAGGCTGCAAAGCGGACCCTCTGCTGCAGGTGGGGGAGGTTGCCATGGTTGATCCTCTTGTCCTGGTAACTAAGGAACTGTGAAGAGAAGAAAACAGAGATGGTGAGACAGGCAGAGCCAAGGAAGCCCTTGTGGATTGGCTGTCTGGGCAATTCACTGAACTTCCCTGAGACTCAGCTTTCTTAGATGAAAAACAGGAATGATAATGCCTGATCCACTGACTTTTAACAGAATGTGTGAGATCATTTGAAATCAGGCACTCTCTGCCTAGTAGCTACCTCCCAGGGGCATGTGAGGATTAAATGGGATGAGATGAATAAAGCCACAGAGACACACAGAAGCTGGATGATACTCAGTCAAAGACTGTCTGAGCTGGAAGTATAAGGTCAGGCCAGGACAGTGCCCCTCTTCCTTTTGGAGGGGTGGGAGGAGGTGGCCTGACTGACTGGCTTGATTGGAAATTACATAGCTCCTCCCCATTGCCCCATTCTCTGAGAAGCCTTGGGGAAAGTTCAAGGGCTTGGTTTTCTTATTTGCCCTGCAGTGTGCTAGCTGCCCAACAAGTAAATACTATGAAGTGTGGAGTAAGGGGAATCACGTACCCAGCACTTACCACATTCTCCCGATGTGAGGGGTCTGAGTTGACCTGCATCCACTCGATGTCCAGCCCATTAGGACCATAGTCCTCAGGGTCCAGGATGTAGGGGCAGCCCAGCCTCACATTGTCACCTTCCGCCAGGTACAGGATCTCCTGACCATCCCCGTTGATCCGTACAGCAGACAGCAGCGCTAGGACACAGGCAGGGCAGACGGGGTAAGGGGACCCGGCCCAGGGCTTGGGTGATCAGCTGCAGCCCCTTTCTCTCCACCATGCCTTGTCAGTGGCAGCCCGGGCCTCAGTGGGGGTTCCTCAGGGAGTAGGGCCTGCTCTCAGAGTGTGCATGATTTGACCTCTGCATATCCGTGCCGACTTGTGTTAGCATGTCTGTATTCTGTAACTGTGTAGAATTGCAACTATACTGTTTGTATATTGTATATATATAGTTGTTAAGAATACTTGTATATGGGACTTCTCTGGTGGTTCAGTGGTTAAGAATTCGCCCTCCAATGCAGGGGATATGAGTGCTATTTCTGGTCAAGGAACTGAGATCCTATACCCTGTGAGGCAGCTAAGCCCATGCACCACAACTATTGAGCCAACATACTCTAGAGTCTATGCGCCACAACTCAAAAAAGCCCGTGTTCTGCAGTGAAGACCCAGCACAGTCAAAAGTAACAAAATAAAATTTTAAAATAAATTATGAATGCTTGTATGTATGCATGATTATATATGCATGTGTGGATATGTCCACGTATGTACATTGTGTGTTTCTGAGTGTTTGTGGCTGCTTATGTGTACTGTAGGGAGATTTATGCACATGACTAGGTAGAGTGTCTTCTTCTATATTTACATGACAGTCCCTGTGGGTGTGAGCGCGTGTGTGCCGGTGTGTAGAGGCATGGAACACGTCGACTTGTTAAATGCTCTGATGGAAGCGACTGGCTGGTTAAAAGCCACTTCTGTCTGGACCAAGTGAAGTGGTCATGTCCAGAGGCAGGAGGATGGACACCATGACCTCTGGAGTCCCTTTCCGGCCCAAGGAGCAGAAGAATGGGTAGTCTCTGCGTGTCTATGTATGCCAGTTCATGTCTGTGGCTGTGTGCCTGTGTGACAGTGTGTGCGTGGCTGTGGAAGTGCTTTGAGTGATAGTGGGTGCCTATGTGCAGCTGTGGCCAGGAGCCTGGCTGCACCCGTGTGTGACCGTGAATGGCGGTGCTGAGGCCTTGGCTGTAGTCGTCTGTAGCACAGGACGGGTGAGCCTTGTGTGAAGGCATGTGGCATTGTACGCTCTGCGTCCTGCCCCCTGCGTGATCATGTGGCTCAGGTACCGCCGCCTTCACAGGCTCGCTCCACTGGGGGCCCCTCCCACTCTACCAGCCCTAACCTCACTGAGTCAGCCCGGGTGAGGAGCCGGGATCTGGAAGCTCAGGACTGATCTCTCCCTCCCTCCCCTGAAGCCCCAGGCAGATGCTAGCCCCAACCGGTTGGACCTACAGAAGAACACAATGTTGGGGGGTGGGGGGAGCGGTGCCCAAAGGGCCCCAACCCTGGCTGAGCGGGCAGCACGCTGCCTCCATCTCCAGCCTCCCCCTCGCCCTCGGCCCCTTGCCAGCCTGGCTCACTCTGCAAGAATCAGCGAATCCTTTGGCGTCTCGGTTGCCCATCCTGCTCTTGCCCTTCTCTGGCTCTCTCCCAGGACCACCTGCATGCTTAGAGAGCATCCCACACACACACGATTACACACTGTCACAGCCAGAGAGATCAACACATAGACACACTTTTACACGCCTTCAAAATGCAGATAGCTTCCTATGGAGTCCCACCTTCCTATATGCACAGACACTGTCAGATCCACACAGACACATAGCCGTACAGACACACAACTATACACAAACACAGGTACATATTAATCCAGAAGATACACCCACTGCATACACTGGCAGTCCCCCATGTGCATTCATTCAAGACTAAGCTACAGAAGCTTAGTCTGGTTCTTAGAGAGCCAGCAGGCGCCCTTTCACCATCCGCAGCACCGCAGGCACCACTGAACCTGCCCCCCAGGATCCCAGCTGGGCCATCAGCCATGCCCTGAACCCGCCCCCCACCCCTGCTCAAGCCTTCAGGGTAACCCAGAGCAGGCAGACCCGCTGCCCTGCCGGGGCTCTAACGGACTCAGTGATGCCTTCTATAGCCCCAGGCCATGCTAACACCAGCCCACTCCCGAGATAAGGATCCTAACTCCACCTGCCAGGTCCTGGGCTGGCACAAGGCAAGCCAGAGATGAGCCAGAACTCAGTGGAGTGGAGCGGCTCCACCCTGAGGAAGGACTGTCGAAAGCAACCGACCAGAGAATACTCTCCACACCCTGGGAGCCAGCCGGGCAGGAGGGTAAGTATTCTGGGCAGGGGGCTTGGGAGGGAGGGATGGGCTGAAAGAGAGTGTCTCCACCCTGCACTAGGCAGAGTTGTCTGCCTTTGTCCCAGGCCAGGGAGCCTCACCCTAGCCTTTTAGTCTCCCTAAATCTCCCTCAACCTTCTCCCAGCCTTTCTGCACCCTCTTGCTCTCCTGGGGAAGTCATTCCTGGTGTCTCACCTTCACTCCTCTTGCTGTGGTGCTAAGGAAGTACCTCCAGGGAATGTGAGCAGAGAGAGAAGCTGGGGGGAGGGAAGAAGACCAGAGTGAAGGAGTGAGAGTTGCGTGCAGAGACTCGGAGGAGGGGCAGGGAAATCACGACAGGCTTGCCAAGGAAGAGGGCAGATGCCTCAATAGCCGGGTCTACTCTCAGCTTATAAGTCCTTTGTGAATTTGTAAGCTGCTTCCAGAGCCATGAACCCTCCTTCTGCAGATGACGGAGGAGAAGGGAAGGGAGGGGAGAAACGGCGGCCCCCACAAAAGGCATACACATGACACAGAGAGATGTGCCAGGTCCCCACAGCACAGCCTCCACAGTAAGCTCTGCCAGGCCAGCTCCCACCAGACAGAGAAGGTGTTGCAGGCGTGCTACCAGAAAGGCAGTCACTCACATGCTCCCCCCTCCCTGAGCTCCTCCCCTGTGCCCCTCAGCCTGCACCCTGACCCCCGAGAGCATCTCAGCCATGTCCACTGATGCCCACACAGATGGGCTCCTGCTAGGACTTGCCCCATCCTGGGCAGGCAGCCTCGATGTCCAGTCCGGAGCCCTGCCCTCCAGGCGTGTCCCAGGGAGGGGGCTCTGGAAGTCACCTTCCCCGCCCTCCCCAGGCTCACGCTGGAGGGGCCGGGTGCTACCCTGGCGCTCTCACAGCGCAGGGGCCCATTCCTGCTGGAAGCAGCCCATTCATTCACCAGCCTGAGGCTCTGCCCTCTCCAGGCCAGTGGGGTGAGAAAGAGGCCCTCCCACTGGGAATAGCACACAGACCAATGGAAAGCGGATCTTTCCAGGCTCCTCCTCAGCCCCCACCCCCAGTTCCCATAGTAACTCCCAGGGAGCCCTATGCTCCCATTTGCAGCAAGTACAAAAGTGTGTGAGCCCCACAGGTTCACGGACACAACGAAGAGACATCCAAGAACACATGCCCCAAGCCTTCAAGTGCAAGGCTGTCCTGGGGAGAGGTCCCCTTGGCAACATCCGCACCCCAGCCCAGCAGGGTGAGGGTGGGCAGCACCCTGCCAGGGAATCCGAGCGCACCTTCCAGGCTCTGCGCCCCTCACTGCCTTTCTCCTGTGCATCTGGCGTCAGCTGGGCATCCCGCCCCTGCCCAGCCCCATACCTGGGCTCAGGCACACGAGCAGGAGGTGGAATGCTCCTCGGGCTCCCATGTCTCTCGGTTCGGTGCTTCCTCCGCCTGGGCTGGGATCCCTGTGGCCGGTGGCTGCAGGCCGGCGGCTGTGGGTGTGTGGGGACAGGTGGAGGGAAGGGGAGCGGAGGGCCCAGACGCTGCCCGGGGGTGGCAGGAAGGTGCAGCAAGTGCCCTGCTGGGGAGCAGCCGGAGTTATTTCTACAGGAGGGAGGGGGCCTGGTCCCCGCCTTGGGGAGGAGTCCCAGGTGCCCTAATTAGCAGGGTGACAAAGAGTGGCCTACCCAGGCATCACCCAGCCCTTCCCCAAGCCCTTCCCTATCCTGAGAGAGGCGCAGGGCGGCCAGCGGGACTTGTAATTAGGCACCTGTTAAACTTCCACTTCCTCCTGGCCCCATCCTCGGGGTGACAACAGTCGCCCAATTTTATGGCGTCCACGGAGCACCCCTCACCACTCATTTGTTGCCTCTTCCCTCAGGGAAATGGAGATGAGGAAGGGGAAGCCAGGCTGGGGATGGAGGGGTGACCAGGAGCTGAAGGCTGGCGCTGACCCCAGGGCACTGTGTCCGACACGCAGGGTTCCAAATCCCACCCGCTCCCCATTCCCTGACCCTGCAGACCCCCTCCCACCCAGGTGATGACCTGTGGGAAAGGGAACCAGGGAAAGGGAGGCCCCAGATGAAAGGGACCCAGGACTTCAAAGGGTGTCAGGCCTCCGGAGCCGAGAGCAGGAGGGAAGGGGTCTGTGGGGAAGTAGGGTCTTGCCCTGGCTGCCCCCTCTGAAGCTGTGCCCTGCTCCCATACCTGAGGCAAGGTCACACCAGGTGCAGGGAGCCCTGCAGAACCAGGTGTGTTATGGGGATCCAGCCCCCCACCTCCCACACACAACTAAAACCAGTTCAGTGAGGCCTAGAGGAGAGGGCCCGGGGTGTAGAGGGCGTGGGGTGAGCGGCCGGGCAGGTGAGGGGCTGCTGGGGAAATGAGCGCCAGGAAGGCAGGGCAAGGGGCGTGCATTTGTGTCTGAACACCCCTCCCCAGAGTGTCTGTCGAGGAGTCACAAGCCCCCTGTACACCCTTCTTTTAGAGATCGAATGGTGCCCTTGCTTCTGGGCACAGGGAGACCAGGGACCCTCGTGACATGGACGGTCATCAGGGTGACCAAGCCCCCACCTTTCCAGGCAGGTTGGAGCTGGGATGAGAAGTCCTGCTGGGCAGGGGGAGAAAATGGAGGGCCAGCCCTTGCTTGTTGGTCCCGGGCAGGCGGGGGGGGGGGGGGGGTCCCAGAACAGGCCTTGGGCCTCCCCTAGACTCCAGGACTGCCCCATACACAGCGGTAGGGGCCCAGCCATGAGTGGCTTTATTCAACAATTCAGCCCTCTCCAAAGCCTTAAGGGTCCTGCCCCATCGCTGACAGGGGCACAAGAAGGGAATGGGGAAGAGTCTTGGAGAGAGTCACGGGGCTCAGGACGCTGCCAGGGCCCACCCCTCTGGGAAAAACAAGACAGAACAATAAGGAAGCACAAGGAGTCCACGCTGGAATCTCTGCGTTCCGGCCCCCCAGCTGCACTCCCAACAATAACAGGGTGCTCCGGGGCCCACGAGTTGTACACTGTAAATGTCCGTATTTCCTTATTCACTTCAAGGATTATGGGATTGGCCTGCACACTCTGGAGAGCACCCATCATTATTCCCACTTTACAGATGGGGAAACAGAGGTCTGGAAAAACACAAAGATTCAGTCTAGGTGATGCTGCTAGGGCCTAAGTGTAGAACAAGCAGGCATCCTGACTCTCCGTCCAGAGTGGACCAAGAAAAGGGCACAGTGACCCTGTGGGTTACTAGACCCACCGATGGGCAAAGTCAGTGATAGGTGGAGGGGTGAACAGGTGGGGCCAGGAAGAGGGAGTCTGAAAAGAGAGGAGTAAGATTGTGGTTCCTTTAGACTGAAATGTAGGGCTGGAGTTTAACTACTGATTCTGAATTTTAGCTACTGTTAGAGTTGGAGAGAAGACTGGAGCTGAGATTAAGGTTGAGGTTAGGTGAAGTGATGAATGAGGTTGAGGTCAAATTTGAGGTTGGGATAAAAGTTAACGTTGAGATTAAGGATAGAACTACAGCTAGAACTGAGGCTAGGCTTTATGGCTGGGATTCGTGTTTTGATAAGGAACAGGGTTTTAGTTTCATTACAGCTTTGCCTGGGAATACAATTGAAGGCAGGCTTGAGATTACTTTAGGATTGGATTTACAGCTGGGTTAGACTTGAGTTTGGGAATTGAGTTAGAATAGGCTGTGGTTAGAGTTAAAACTTGGGTTAAAGTTACATGGACAGAGGGTTCGTGGGGATCAAAAATGAGGTTGTATTTATGACATAGACCTCAGCTTCCATTCATTAAGTCTAACTTTGGCTAGAATTTTCATTCCTTTCTTCTGGGAGAATACCAGTGGCACATGTTCATCAGGGTTTCAAAATTTTGGAAAGAGTTCTAAATACATGCACGTCCATCTGAAAGATATAAAGCAATTGAACCCCATAAGAAATACAACCTCTTAAATTCTGCTCCATGACCTAAGCTCACCATCTGGTCAAGCTCCCAGAAGGGTGTTTGGGGAGGGGATGCAGGAAGTTATAACAGTGAGTGGGGCTCTGACACCAAATGGGTCAATAGGGTCTGTCAGAGGCAATTTTACTTGGGTGAGGGTGTTCCTGGTTTTGAAGTCAAGGAGATGGGCACTGGGGGAGACCAAGGACCTAGATGCTCCTGGGAGAACAGCCACTTTTGAGGTGTCCATGCAGGGGCTCCTCAAAGTCTCAAAAGGCAGGACACATTGTTGTTCCCCTTTGACCCACTGAGGGCTAATTGCCACCTTCTTGCAATCTGGGGCCCATAAAAGAAGCTGTCCGCCCTACAGGGGTTTTGGAGGGTGGTGTTGGAATGGTAGCACTGGGGTATCTGCTCAATTTTCAAAGCACAAGTCCAGCCCATAGCCCCTCCCTCTGGGACCAGCTCACAGCCCTTTCTCTGTGACTTTCATCCTGGGGGAGGAGGCCCCCTCCCCCCATCCCCCTCCCCCAACTCTTCCCTCCCTTTTCCCCACAAGTCTCCACCCCAAACATCCTGTTGCCCCACCCACTTCCTTTTCATGTCCTATAAAGGTCTGGGCAGATCCAAGCAAGTATTGGGATCCCCTGTGTGCCCCCATAGAGAGAGAGAGAGAGATTAGGAGAGGCAGTGGTTAGTAAGGGGGCAGGGAACACAGATGCCATCCAGGTGGCCCATCCAGAAGTTAAGAGAGGGACAGGAGGCAGAGGATCCAGGCTACAATCTGGAACAGAGCACCCCGATTTCCAAAAGGGCCCCTTGTTTTTCTTTGAGAAATCCGTAGCTCCCTGGGGGAGAATAGCCCCTCTATTGTGCGTGCACACACACACACCCCACCAAACTGGGTTGTACCTGCTTCTCTTCTAAGGCAGAAACAGAAACTCAAAGACAAAAACTTGGAAAGGCATGAACAGGAGTACAGAGGCAGAGAGAAGAGGCAGGACAAGGACCTAGAGAGGCCCAGAGGCTGCTTCTGAGAGGAGGGGCAGCCCAACCCCAGAACATCGTGGGGAGGGACAGGCGCTCCCCCTCATCTGCCTGGACCTATCCCCAACCCCTCCCCCCAGGCCTCCTAGGCTCAGCTTCAAGCTCCCCATCTCCCCTCCAGGGCCCAGGCTCACCCCTGTGACATCCAGGGAGCAAACAGCAGCCCTGGGAGTGCTGAGCAGAGAAAACCTCCAAGGACAGGGTCTGGTGGCAGGAGAGCCATGGGACAGACAGTCTCATGCTCAGGGGGAGCAGACAGAGGTGCCTGGTACGCAGTCACAGAGAAGCCCGGGAACCCCAGCGGTGACTGCCTTTCCGCCCAAGTCTCAGTGAAGGTTTGGTGTCGGAGATCCGCCAGGTGAGGTCCTGCTTGGACGAGAAGAATGGAGATGCCCAGAGGTGGTAGAGGTTCTGTGATGGGAGCATGTCGAGTTCAGACAGGGAAGAGTTACAGTTTAGAAAAGGCTTCCTAGGTGGCTCAGTGGTAAAGATTCCACCTGCCAATGCAGGAGACGCCAGAGATGCACGTCCAGTCGCTGGGTCGGGAAGATCCCCTGGAGGAGAAATGGCAACCCCCTCCAGTACTCTTGCCTGGAGAATCCCGTGGACGGAGGAGCCTGGCGGGCTACAGTCCATGGGGTCACACAGAGTCGGACAGGACTGAGCGACCGAGCACAGAGAGAGGAGGATGAGGTCTACACATGAGGTTCAGTTTCAGGAACAAAACTAGGGTTTAGACACTGAGGCCCCCGTCAAGGCTAGTGGGCAAGAGTTTCTGAGATGTGACACCCAGGGTCTCCTTACACCTCAGCCCAGGCTTCCCAAGGCTCAGTGCTTCCTGCTCATCCACTTCAGAAGAACAGGGACCCAGGGAGGGAGCCTGGATACACCCAGATTTCTGCCAGCAGGAGACATCCTGGAGCTGACTGAGAGTCAGAAGAGCAGGCAGCCCGGAAATTGTCCCCATTGCTGAAAGGACTGATCTAACCTACTTTATCATCAGAGTATCTTAGCAAAGTGAGGCTGCTTAAACGCTACAAACTGGATTGTTATCAAGGAAACAGTGGAGGAAAGAATTCACTTTGAAAGACTATGTGAATCCCTGATGACAAACCTGAAGAAGAATTAAGAGACCTCAAGGATAAAAGAGAACTCACCTCAATGAGATCAACCATTTCTTGCAGAACCTTCATCCATTCAACAAACCGGGTCTAGTGGCTAGCCGGGTCTAGTGGCTAGGCCATGGGGAAGCAACGGTTAACAAAATTCTGTCTTCTAGAGCGCTCAGTCTGGAGGGCGAGACAGACAAACGAAGGGGCACCAGCTCCTATCACAGACTGATGACCTCCCATCATATGTGGCAAGACCCCCTGGCATGGTGTAAATGACCTTTTAACGCCGCCGATCTGAAGGATAACTAAGGACGTGCTTGGTT